CGCGATCGGGGCGGGGTTGGGCCTGGGGGTGGGGGTCGCAGCGTTCATCGGTTGGTTGGGTTGGGCGGCGGCGGGTGGGCGCGACATGGCGGCTACCAGTACCACGGCGGGGGCGGAAGCGGGGAGGCAGCGGGCAACAAGAAAGCGAGGGCAGATCTGGAGGAGAACACTCGGCGTGCGTACGAGAACTAAGAGGGAACTCGGAGGGAGGTTTAGGTTAAATCCCCCACGCTTCCATGGTGGCACGGTATTCTCTTCTAGGTCTACCCCTTTAGGGTTCTTCACCCCCTCCACGCCATGTTGCACCCCGCGCCGCCGCCATCCCCATCCAAACCAATGTACCGATGAATGCCGCCATCCCCACGGCCAGGCTCAACCCCACCGCGATTTCGTTTACTGGCCCCTTTCAACCCATCGGCGATCCGCCGCCAGTGTCGTACCCGGCGCTCTTCTGCCTCATGTGCCCCGCCTCGGTATGTTCGCGTCGTCATGCCGTCCGGCGCTTTCCCCTGGACCTCGCTTGTGCGGGGCTTCGTCGAGTGGATTCCATCTATGCTCAAGCACCCTCTTCCTTGTATGGTTTTTCCCGTGGGATTTGATACAACTAGGGATACTCTCAATCTGATATGAACACAACTCACTAGGGTTGCTAGCCTTTTTATAGACAGTGATTGCTTATTATCAATTAATGCATGACAATCGATGAGCGTATCTCGCACGTCGTCGTGACATGTTGCAAGGGTGTCATTGGTCAAAATCTTGATATCGCGCCACACATTTAGTGATTAAAAGGGGGAGAACATCAAAAGGAAAATTTAGAATTATTGACGTTGTTTCATTCTCCTTGAACCTCGTGTGAAGCCCGGAAAAGAGCAATTACTTGTTTTAGGAAACTTATAATTCTCACTAAAGATAGAAGCTACGAGGAGGCTAGTGCTAGGCAAGAACACGTGTGCACTTTTGCTATGATCTAAGCATTTCATAAAAAGTCCAAACTCGCTATAAGTCTAGCATGCTAATAGTTCGGTATGTCACATCTCTAGCCCTGACCTGCTCCATGGTCAAGTTGATTACAAATATAAATGAGATATTTTGTGCACGTGTATGTACCATTGCAGGAATGTTGTTAATGAGTGTAGTATTGCAGGAATGTATGTATGGGGGGCAAGGGTTTCATCAAAGTTCAAGCCTTCAACTTGGGAGAAATCTTGGGCCCCTAATCTTGCCTTGTTTCTAATGATCACTTCATACTCGTCTTTGCTTGTTCTTGAAGACTCATTTGGTTCTGATGATGTTATAACCCTTTTCGATTGGCCTCTTCACAATGACCACATCTTTATCACGGGTGAAGTTGTTTAACTCTTCTTGCATGCCAACAACCAATCTGATTCCATCAAGGCTTGTTGTACCTTAAGTGGCTCAAAACTATAAATAAACGAGAAGCGGGCACAAGAATTAATCAACCGTTTACAAGTGACTACCCTTGTGACAATACACTTAAGACATTGTCAACTTGGACCCGGTCGGACACTAAAGGCATGGAGGAAGGTGGATCTTGAGGATCTTTGTCATCACTTGAACCTTCATCTTCATCTTGTTCATCCACGGTTAGAGCTTGAGATTCATCACTTGATGTACTTGCTCCATCTTAAGCTTGATCATGTGCTTGATGATCATGAGATTTTTCGTGATCTTGATCTTGCACAACAATTTGGTCTTCTTGATGATCTTGCTCACTCTAGTGTGGAGGGTCTTGTTCTTGTTATTGGACGTTGGGTACATCTTGAGCATTGTGGTCTACGTGTGGTGTAAGTCTTGATGGTAAAACGATGGTGCTTGAGGTTTCTTCATCATTGATGTGAGCTTGCTCCATGGGGAAAATGTCACCAATGCATGTAGTCATAATGTCTTGTAGATGATCCTCATCACCTACGTCACCACTTAGATAAACTTTATCTCCATGGGAGACATTGAATTCATCAAACATCATGTCACAAGTTTCCTCGACACATCTCTGGATTTGTTTAAGACCCTATAGGCATGAGAGTTTGATCTTTATCCAACAAATGTATCCTCAAAATTTAGCCAACGGGTTCCCTTGCTGAGAAGCAAACACTTACAGTCGAATACCCAGAACTATTTGGTTTTTGGCTTGTTCCCGGTTAAGAAATCATATGATGTCTTGTTCAAGTACTTGCGAAGGAAGATTCGGTCCAACAAGCTATGTTGATGGCCTCAGCCCAAAATCTATACGGCTGTACTCATCGACATGGACCTTGCCATCTCCACAGGTGACCGGTTCTTCCTCTTGGCTACACCATTTATGTTGAGGGGTGTAAGGCGTGGAATATTCATGCCTAGTCCCCTCATCACTAAGAAATCCTTACAAGGTGTAATTCTTGAACTCCGAGCCATCGTCGCTTCTAATTACCAATAAGACTTTGTGAACTTGCTTTGAGCTTGCTAGGCAAAATACATGAATGTCATCTTCACCTCGTCCCTGAACTTGAGAAATAACACCCATGTATATATTGAGTAATCATCAATAATGAATATACCATACTTCTTCCCTCCAATGTTATCCCATGATGGAGGCCCAAAGAGATCCACATAGAGGAGCTCCAAAGGCCTTGAGATTGAAACAACACCCTTGGGAGTATGCTTTGCTTTATGTTGCTTTACAACTATGCTTGCACTGCACACACAGTTTTTCAGAAAAGAAACATCCGTTATTCCAAGGATGTGCTCATTCTTTAGGAGATTTTTGGGATTTCTCATACTGACATGGGCTAGCCGGCGACGCCATAGCCACCCCTTATCGGCCTTGGCCATTAGACAGATTTCTTGGAAAGTGCTCTATTTCAAGAATTCAACCATGTTAAGGTTGTCATCCATGTGTCCAACAAAAGCCACTTTGGAGGGTATCTCTTCTAAACATGCTTGAGCATCCAATTACAAACTAGAAAACGACGATACATTCTGTTTGGCATAGATTAGTGCCTCTCTTGATGCATGTATTGCATATAGTTGCACCGATCAAACTAAGGACACCTTTTGGAGGCAGATTGATGAGCATTTTCAACGCGATGTGAAGATTCTCTCCAGTCGAACACAAGGTTCAGTCCGAGGTTTTCATAGTACAGTTCTAAACTGTTGCAACCAGTTGTGTGGTTGTGTTGGTCAAACTGAACGCCCCCTCCGAGTGGAGTGCCAGTAGGGGAGCATTCCAACTACATCCAAGCACTACACAAACAAAAAATCGGGAAGAATCGCAACAATCTCTTTACTTTGTTGCATTGTTGGGAAATGAGAATTGGGCGAGATGGAATTAAAAAATACACCAAAGGGCGGGATTAAGCATGTCCTCTTCCATTGGATCTTGATGGTGATGAAGAGTTTGAGTTTTTTTGTGGGGTAGCTTGAGGTTGATAATGATGATGAGAGAGATAGAAGTCTCACTCAAAGACAAAGAGGCCTAATAGGAGGAGTGCACAACGAAGACCTTCACGAGATTATACCCATATGTAATACGACGGTGGCGTGTCCACAGTTGAGGACTCTGGTTGCTCTTGTAGTACTAGGGGTAGTGTTGCTGCGCTCAGCGCCTATGTATCCAGCCTTGAGTGTGTGCGTGTGTTGGGGTGGCGTGCGTTTGTATCTGAGTTGTGGTCGGACATTGCTTTATATATAAAGCAGGGCGAAAGCCTTTTCCGGTAATACGACAATGAACTATTTTTGATGATATTCTCATGGAACTCTTGCGCGATATGGTTTGAGTTTACATTCGAAACATAATTTAACATTTGAAATGTTGTTAATTAAATAGTGATTTTGCACTAGATGTGAAAACATAGTTGAAAGGTTTGAGAATTTGCCATAGAAGGAACAAGAGAGTCCATGCATAAGAGAGAAAAATTGTTGAAAAGGGAGCCTGAAATCGAAAGGCAAAACACATGTCCAGATCAGACCAAACTACACCAAAGGGCGGGATTAAGCATGTCCTCTCCCATTGGATCTTGATGGTGATGAAGAGCTTGAGGTTGATAATGAC